GAACAATTATACACAACAACCTTATCCCACAACCAACACTTGAACTTATCAAACAACAGGTTGCTGATCAAATACATCAACAGACAGAAACATTTAACATTAATGAAGATCACGTAACCTGTCAGGATAATCCAGCAACAAGCACTGATTACAGCACACACGTTTAGCGATGGAGCTAAAGTCCGTCTAGGCGTTTCAATAGAATAGGTCCGAATTTGATCCTACCTCGGTGATAGTAGTTCCGATCTCGCCCACGTGTTCCACGTCCTTTGTTCGTCGGACAAGATTAACGAGGAGACTGATTCCTTGGAAATACCATATTTTATTTCCCCGCGACTACGGAATATTTACAGAGGTCTAAGTTAAATTACTGTACAAATATGCGTTCGTCGTCAAGCTGACTCCGAAAGATTGGCGTAACAAAAGCGAAGGTCGACGTACGAAAGTGTCTCTCCAGATCGGTGTCTGAGGACCAAGTGAGGTCAGAGGGGAAAGGTCAAGCGGTAGCGCCCTCTGCCCTACACACGCAAAAGTACCACTAATGATACTGTAGGCACTTCCCCATCCATCACTGATAACGTAGACATAGAATCAGTTAATACACTCTCACTTACATTTCAAGAAACACTCATTAAATATACTGGTACAGATCCCACACAAAGACCACGAATACCGAAAATCAACACAAAAAAGGAATCCTGAAGAAAGAAGATTTTGCACTTGGAAATGGAGACGTTATTGAATCCATGGAAGAGAGCGAGTTCTACAAGTACTTAGCAAAATTAGCAAGTACACAGAACTCGCCCAGGAAATAAGGCATCTGTGGAGAATGAAAAGGGTGCTTATTGTACCTGTCGTTCTCTCCTGTACAGGTGTGATACCACACACACTACACAAAAGCATGGGAACATTACAATTGAGTAGAAATACATACATCACACTACAGAAGGCNAGAGGGCGAGTTCTACAAGTACTTAGGATTCCAACAGGCCAAACTAACAGAACATACACAAATAAAGCAAAGATTAATTAAAGAATACCAAAGTAGTGTATGTTATATTCTTTTTTAATGTTTTAGTTGGCTGAAGAGGGGCTTAAGAGCCTGAAACGTGTAAAATGTTCACACGTATTAACTAAATAAAGATGAGAAAACCCGCCAAGTGTCTTAATTTATAGCACTTTATTGTGTTAGAAGCATAATACCAAAGTAGGTTAAACGCTATACTTAGAACAGTTAAATGCAAAACACACAGTTAAAGCAATAAACACATATGTCATCCCAGTACTCACATACTCTTTTGGAGTTATACATTGGACTCACACAGATCTCTAGCANAGACACATTGTTAGGAAATTCCTGAATACAGACACACACACTGACACACTTCTTTAATTTTAGTTTTGTTTTGGTTGCTATGCCTTGACTCTGGTCCGGCATAGTACACAGCCACCAGGCACAACAGGCCAAACTAACAGAACATACACAAATAAAGCAACGATTAATTAAAGAATACCAAAGTAGTGTATGTTATATTCTTTTTTAATGTTTTAGTTGGTTGAAGAGGGGCTTAAGAGCCCGAAACGTGTAAAATGTTCACACGTATCAACTAAAGATGAGAAAACCCGCCAAGTGTCTTAATATTAATTTATAGCACTTTATTGTGTTAGAAGCATAATACCAAAGTAGGTTAAACGCTATACTTAGAACACAGTTAAATGCAAAACACACAGTTAAAGCAATAAACACATATGTCATCCCAGTACTCACATACTCTTTTGGAGTTATACATTGGACTCACACAGATCTCGAGCAACTCCAAAGGAAAACAAGAACAACACTTACTAAGCATAAACAACATCATCCTAAATCCGCNAATCACAATCAAAGTGTAATGCAAATAAAATGTTTTGAATAAATTATAAAAATTCCTTCATATTTTATTTAAAATAACTAATCTTATTTGCAATTTTTTTTAAAAACTGTTTAACCCTAGAATGTTTGAATTCACATTCAACTGTATAAATCCAAAAACTTATGATTGTAAATCCAAATCATTGAATATCTAAAATTAACACATAAAATTGTTCCTCTTAATAACGTACAAGTATTTTTTATGCCAACTACTATTGATAATTTACAATTTAACAGTAGTGTAGCGTAGGGGGTGAGGCAGGGGTGGCCCGCCCGGGCGGCACTTTTTACGGGGTGGCAAAATTTGACAATAAATAATAATAATAATATCTTGTAAGAATTTGAACCATTTTATTTCATATTTTCGTCTACGATTCGGACCGATTGAAATGAGCACAGAATAGAGGGAATAGTGTTACCATCTGACTCGTCGTCCAGGGATATTGTGCGCAACCTGCCAACCTTTTTTTTTTGTTTTTTTTTTTTTTTTGAGGAAGATTAATCGAGAGTACTCAAACTACAATACAATTGTTTTGTTCTTTTGTCAGTAAGATTTCACCCATACATGGAATAAAAATTGTCTAATGTAAAAGCAGAGGAACAAAATTTCCTCCTTAATAACTGCATCAATGGCTAAGTACATCAAACAAAAGCTTTACAACATAGTAAATAATTTTAATGTTAATTCGACAAACATTTTTGATATTATACAAGATCAAAAAACGTTTGTCAGCAGAAGAATGTATTATCAAATTGTCAGTCTTTATTTTAATGGTAAAGAAAAAGAACATATTTCAAAAAAAGAAGCTTTGTTTGTTTCATTGTCTATACTAAATTGTCACCCACAATAAAGTATGGAGTAAATTGAAAACTATGGAAGATTTTCATTGATTACATTTGTCTACTAGTGAATCTGTATGAAAATTAAGAAGCAATAATACCAACTGATTATAGAGAAACCAAATGGGTCAATATTGAAAAAGGAATATTATCACGTTATAGGTTAATCAGAAAAAAAGAACAAATATCATGAGGAATACTGGATTGGAAGACAGGTTTGATTGTTATTTAATTTATCATATTATTGAAAAAGATTTTTGTATAATTTTAGTCTGTAAATTTTGTACCAGAAAACTTTCCTTTTATACCCACTGATAAGGAAAAATGTGGTTTGAAGTTCATTTGAGGAAATAAATAAAAGGATAAAGGAATCAGCCTAAATGCAGTGTTCTTTCTCATTTCAATCCATACAATAAGTATAATAAATCCTGACTTTGAGAAAAAGCCCAGTAGGTGTAAGAAATTAAAGACAGCATTAAGAACAAGAAGCTATTTCTACAATGGATTGAAAGAAATGGAAGCTGGAGTAGAAATTATAGAGTAGGAATATCAATAGCCTTAAATATGTTAAATGATACAGCCTGTAACTGAAAGCAAAAGTTTATGAAGTCAAGAAAGAAAACAATGATACAAGCTTACGATTCAGTATAAAGAAGAAAAGATTTTTGCCAAATGAACTCAATACAGTGCAAATATAGGTAATGTAGAGATACAGATTAATCCAAGAAAGTGAAATTTTTGATCCCCCCAAAAACCAATGTAAATTCAAACTGTATCCAGAAAGAGTGATGAAATGTAGAGATGATGGAATGATGATAAAAATCTGAATAGCTAAAGCAGTTGTCGTCCAGTAGCAGAATATGAACTATTAAAAAAAGCTGAATGTAAGAAAGTTGATGCTTTTGAACCGTGGTGGAGGAATTGCTGCATATATAATGGATTGTTAAAAACACAGGTCAGTTTTATAGGGTGGTTAAATTGGAGATAACAGAAAATGAGCAGCATGTTAGTCTTGGTAATGATAGTTGGATACTATCTGAAAGAAACTACCACAGATGAAATTGGTACCTAGGGAATGGATAACAACAATATAAAAATATTTGCCATCATAGAGGTATTGACAGTATGATTTAACAAGTTTCATAATGTAAATGTACCATGTGACTTCAGCCAAAGTCTGTCATAGGTAGAAATATGCAAATTTTTACAATTTGAATAAAAACATACAAAATTACTTAGAATTTGAAAATAATGGAAAAACTGAATATCTTGAGCTATTTGAAATTGTAGAAATAGAATTAGAAATAAGCAAATGCCAGCTCATAGATACAAACATAATGTTGATGAGTTTTAATATCTTTGTATTTTGCTTAAACTGTAATAAATAAATATAAAATATTAGATTATATCATTTTTAAATGCTTCATATTAAACTGAGCACTATAATTTTTCATATATGCTCTGCACTTTATAAGATTGCTTTAAAATATTACATAGAACATTTAGTAACTTTCTAACTTTATTGTAGATATACAGTACTAATTGTGTATTTATTTTATATATAGCATGTTAAGTGGTATGAAATTCATAGCATTTATAAAGTTTCAAAATCATATCATCATCATTTATATATTTATTACAATTAGTAAAAATAGCATTATATGAAATATTGATGTGAATAGAATACATTGATATATATTTAAATTAAATGTCAAATAATTTATTATTATTTTAACTATCAGTATTTACTATAATTAAAATGAAGTTGTATTGAAGAAAATATATTTAATTATAAATAAATATTTAGTTAATTTTTGGAATATATTGTATAGATTTATTTTCAGATTTGGTTTTAGTAATAAAACATGGCAACTAAAGCTATTCGACACATGAAGAAACTTGAAAAACCAAGGCCATTAAAGCAGCAATTAATCTTAGAAAACTCAACAAAACACTCTATTACAGGTATTTAAGCTGTTTATCTGTTTATCTCATAATTTTAGTTGAAATACCTTGATTTCATTGCGGTATACGGACTGCACTAGCATAGATCCTGCAAAAATTGCTAGAATAGATTTCTTTTGCATAGTTTGCATCACATTTATATTTCACATCTCCAAAAACTTTCTGTATGCAGCTTATTGTACAGGTATCTCTTATACAACATGGCATCTCTACAACACTGTTTCACTTTAACATGGCTTAAAAATTGGGTATACCCTCCAAATAACACTTTTTCCAGTTTTGCTCTAACACAGTTTGGGAAATCCTCTATACAAAATTTTACAATTTTTAAGTGCAAATTCTGTTGTTTGATAATTTTTTTTTATTCAAGTAAGCATATGCATTGTCTCAAATTTACCCATGGATTTCAGAATATTGAAATTTTCAATTTGTTTTGTGCCTTTTGTCAGGTTTACTTTAATGAAAACTGATAATGTAATTTTTTCTTCCTTGTCCTAGCTTTCCTATCAACCATGTATCATTGTCATTGCTTTCAGACTTTAGCCCTTAAAATAGTCACTGTGTTTTGTTTTTATAGATTAATGTTTGTATTTAGTAAAATTTATCTAAACATTTTTAGATAATTGTTATTAACTAGTTTTTAACTGTAGTTAAGTAAATATTTGTAAAAATGACAAACAAAATACAGTGGTATCTCTGTACTCAAACTGTTCCCAACTCAAACAATTTATTATTTAAACAAATTCTGGAAAAAATTTCTTAAGGTTTGACCTGAACAAATGCAACTTTCTAGAACAAATTTTCAATTAATAAGTTTTATTTTGTCATCCATAAAAAAATTTATGATAAAAATTTTTAAAAATTGAAGACATTGCTGATATTTCTGACTAAGATCAGCAAAAATGCTCAGATGACTGATACTTTGTAAATAGAGAATGCCCTCATTTAACTAAAATTAATATTAAAGCATCATATGGTACTTTTAATTGTAATTGTTAGTTAATTATTGATTGCTTTAATAAACATATTTCTTTTAGTAACAAAAAAAAAAATAGGGCCTAGTATAATTTTGTTAACTTTTGAAATCTAACCCCATGTTTTGCATTAGTTTTTTGTATAGCATGGATTTGTATAACACTGCATTTTTTCAGAATATAACTACCATGTTATACAAGGGATACCTATAGATGTAATTATAAATAAGGAAAGTGGAAAAAAATAGTGAGATAAAATAATCTAAACTGCATTGTCAAATACAATATGGTTTCCAAAAGACACAATTTTTTATTGCTTCACTTTTTTTTTATTTTATTTATCAAATTGTGTTAATAAAATATATTTACAATAATAAATGCTAAAATAACTCCAAAAAATTAAATAAAAAAGATGTCAGTAATACCTATAGTAGTACCATTATTTCCTTTAATAAATATCCTCAAAATATGCCAAATGAAAGTTAAATCCCAACATTTATTAGAGACTGGCATCAATTCAATACCAATGTTTATTCGGTAATGTTTGACACCATATCAATGTAATAATGTTTATTTATTATCCATAAACACAACTCAGCTATTAGGAGCAAAATTCAGCTATTAAGAACAGTGTCTTCTAGAGACCTGAAATGTTTAAAGATTTGTTTGTTGTTTCTAAAGCTATATAGGTTAGAGATGTGTGTGTTGTTCCAAGTAGTGCAGTCTTCTGCATCATGTGGATGTTTATTCTGTCAAGATAACTCCCAAAAGCTAGAACAGTTCAAAAACACACAGATGCTTTTACATAGTACTTCCAGCACAGATTTTTAATAGATGTTAAATTGAAGATGATAAATGTTTTTGGCCACTTCAGTGGCTTTCCTCAGGTTACAACTTTACTTGAGCTTGTATATTTGATAAAAACTTTTTACAAATGAACTTACAAAATTATGTTTGTTTTTATATTTTTTAATTTTTGAAATGATGCAAGACAACAAACTGACTTCAAATACAAACTACATAACTACGCTAAAATAGACTTATCACTGCTAAACAGTAATAGTCATGTGTTTCTATCCCTGCACTTTGCAAAATGCTACAGTAGGAGATCTTATTTGTAGGCGACATTAATCAACCCTTAATATTAATTCAAATAATTAATATTAAGGGTTCTTCTGTTATAAATAAATTTTTTATTTTGTTACTTTTATGAATTGTAAACTATAATTTCTTAAATCAGTAATATTTGAAACAAGTAATGATTAATCTGTCATTTCTTCCAACAGTAGATGAAGTTATTCAAGAATTAGAATCATTATATATAACTATTACAAATGGAAATTTTGATAAAAGTACTGTTATGTCAATAATAAAAGTTTGTAACCAGTTGAAGCTTAAAGGACAAGAAATAGAAACATTATATAAAGGTGAGATTATCATCATTTTCGAACTAAATGAAAATTCTAGTATATATTAATAAAATAGTTAATTATAAAAGTCAATAATTATTTAATATTTTCAAAGATTTATTTCTTCATTATTCTATAAAAACAATATATAAGAAAGTTTTTTAGTAAAGTTTTGAAATAAGTAACAAAAATGAAATTTATCAATTCTTAACTTTATATTTTGCCTCTGAAAAATCATTTTAAAAAATGAGACAGATCTATAAAAATATTAAATGATTATATCTTTAATACTTTTTTATATTTAAGTTGAATATTGGTTTACTTAGAAATTTATTTTATTTATTATCATAGTTTTTATCATATTATCTTTACTTTTAACACTTTTTACATATTCTGGCAATTTCTAATTACAGTATGTATAATTTAAAAAAAAATTTTTTAAATATTTTAATGTAATATTTTATTACTGATATTTTATATATTAATACATATAATCAAATACTGATTTATGTATTTTGAAAAACTATTAAATTATTTCTTTTTTTAATTTTTTAATTACTCAAGAATATTCTATTGGCATTAATTGATACATATTGAAAAATTATTGTGAAGAAAAAAAATTTGTTGAATATAATAAATGATTATTGAAGCTTTGAAACATAATATGTAAAATAATTAAAAATTTATTTAAAAAAATAAGATTTTTAATAATTATGATTATTTGATATTTTTGTAATTTTTCAATGAAATATTAATAACAACAGTTCTTATATTAAAAAATTACATTTTTAGAACAATTTTTAATTTTATTTTAATTAATAGTCTTTGATATTAATTTTATAATTTATCTAAATTCAATTTAAATAAAATTGCTAGGTAAAATTATTTAAATTCAATAAGGGGTACGTTAGTAAAGTCAAACGAGTTAAATGCATTAGTAACGAATCATTCGAAAAGCAGTAGTCTCGCTCAGTGTGCATGCTCTGTGGTGATGATGTTTCGAACGAAACTCTAACAAAGCTCACAAAAGAAAGAGTTAGTTTACTTTGTTAAGTAAATGGTGCCAATGTTTCTAAATATACTCAAGTGTTTAAATTGTGAATTAAAAGGTGAAATGATTGAAATAACTGTCTGCCCGAAGCAATCTAAGAAAAATATTTCAGATAAGGCTGCACTAGCAACATTCATATGTTTGATTATAGAAATATCCATTTAGTTAGACTTTTCGAATGATTCGTTTATAATGAAATAAGAAGAACAATGATGTCATTCTCATTTAACTCATTCAACTTTATGAATGTACCCAAGACTTTATACAGTAGACCCCTATGATACGTTCCATTTTATATGAATTCTGTGTTTTACAAATCACTTAAATACATGAACCAATCATAGCCCGGCATGTCTACAGTTTAGGGACTATGGCTGTTTAAAAGGTTTTCTTCCATAAAATTAATCAATTCTAGACTAATTCGACTCAACATTTTCAAAACACGTATAATTTTTTGGGAATAATCCATATAAACTATGCTATAAACAAAACTTGTAGGATTACTTACCGAGTGTGCACCGTTCGATGACGCCATTGCTTAAGCTTGTTTTCGTCGTGGAGCAGCGCATCAGATGACAGGCGCATGTTTGCTGATAAGTTATTTTTCTGCGAAAAATTCGCTGAACTTTGGAGACATCATTAATATAAATACAATTTTTATGGCTGTTAAATAATAAATGGTTATTAGTAGGTCCGCTGCTTGTTTAAACTCAACGGTTTGTGCAATATCTGCTATTGGTCTAGATTTGACCAATCCTGTCACGACATGAATCAGTGATGACGTTTTACCATATTTTATGAGTTTCTTTTAGCATGTTATACGAATACGGTTGCAATTTTTTCGCTACTATATACGAATCCACATTATATGAACCCATGTTATGGGGTCTACTGTATATGTTAAATAAATAAAATTACTTCCAAAAATTAATTACTATCATAATGAATTCTGCAAGAAATCTAAAATTTTAAATCATTTTGCTTACTGAAAGTAAAGCTAGCAGAGTCAAAAACTGATCTTTAAATTCAGATCAATTTTATAGCAATTTGTTGTATTGAAAATCATTAGTAATTAATGAGTAGGTTTTGGAGGATGATGATGTAGATTTGTTTATGGAAACTTGATATGAGTATACGATTATGTAGAACATTGTGTTCAAAACAGCAAAATAGAAATAAATACTTTCATGTCAAGTTAAACAAGATCATTTTAAATGTTTTTAATAATTTGTTTTTACCAAAGAAAAATTTCTTTTTTACGGCTTTTTAAGTTTTCCCTGAAACTTAGTTGCATCAGATATTTCAGAATATGCAAAAGAAGAAAAATTTTTTTAAGTAACTTGATAGTATTTGCTTATTTTAAAATCCAAAAAGAATAATAATTCTGATTTCATGGATTAATAAAACATGTTGTACCATATTTTTAAGAAATTAATATGAGATTTAATTACTTAATTAAATTAAAACAACTGTTTTAATTTAATTAACATTTATTTATTACAGAACAGCTTGATAGATATTTTGTTACATTGCGTAATGCTTCAAGAGATGAGCGTATTGATATTTTGTGTCGTATGAGATTGTTGGAAGTCATTGAATTAAGAGCAATGCATTGGAAAATCAATGAAAATGTCACAAATTATTATAAACAGAAATTGCAAGAATTAGAAGTAAGTTCTTTTAGAGTTTTTATTTAATTCTTTTTATAACTAATCTGATACTTAAAACAAATTAAGACAAAGTATTTTAAATTCATGAAAATTGATATATAAAAAAGCACTTAATATTTTTAAAACTACAACATGAAAAAAATTTATTATTAAATAAGTGATGATATTGTAAGTTATGTAATATCAGTTTTACTATGCTCTGAAGAAATAATTGAGCAGATTCTTTAAAGCTCTTAGTTCATGTATAAATATTTCTCAAGAATGTTGTTCAATTACTTTAACTCTTCATTGTATAATGAATAGTGAAAATGATTGATAATATAATATTAACTGTTAACCAATAGTTTGAGGCATTAACAATACAATAATAATAATGCAAGTGAAACAAACAGTAGAAGAAAAATATTTCCTGGCTGATTATGTTAAAGAAAGCCAAGAACAAATTTTAATTGAATTTAAACCACAAAATTTAAGAGGCATGAGAAATGAAGCAAGAATACTGAAAAAAACAATGAAACAGAGCACAAAGCAGGCAACAAAAACACAGGGCCAATTTTTGTAAGAGATCAAAGAGAAAGTGGATTCTGAAGAAGCATGGAGATGATTAACATTAGGAACTTAGAGACTGAGGGATTAATACTAGCTGACCAGGAACAGGCCATTTGAACAAATGAAATCAAGCAAAAGCTGAAAAATCAACAACTAATGCAAAGAATTCAAAGAAACTGTGGATCATATTCTTAGCTTCTGTGCAAAGATCACACAAACTGGCTATAAGCAATGTCATATTACAGTTGCTAAAATGATCTACTGGAACATATGCCAAAACTATCTTGTGCCATCTACAAAAAAATTGATGATCATAACAATGAAAACGTCAGAAAATTCTGAAGTTAAGATCCTGTGGTACAAACAAACATTGCTAAACCCGATATATAACATAACTAAACACCAACCATATGCCGAAAATTTATCGGGCTAGTTTTAGGCTAATTACTAAATGAATTATGTAACCAATTTGGCTCTAGAGGTAGGCGTTAGGTGCCATCTCTTATTAATATTAATAATTATAAATTAATTAATTAATTTAAATAATTTAGANAGGCAGACCATATAGAGAATGGATTGAAGTGATGTGGAGCAAATGTACAGGAATTGAGAAAATTGGCCATGGATAGAGAGAAATGGAAGGAAATAAGTGTAAAAGGCATCAGACACCAATGGGCAATGAGTCCAGGGTTGATGATAATGATTTTGTTAAACATGAGGGTGAAAAATTTTGTTAAAACATCTTGCGGCATCTGTTCACAAGACAAAATATACCTGCACAGAAGGGTAGCCAAATCATATCAACTTTTTCTGTTGAAATGGAATCTGAAAATTAAAAGTTTGCATTGCTGAACATTCATGTATAATGCAGTTATACATCAATAAAGTTACAGTAGCTTGGATTGTGAAATGAAACTATACACACAACTTTTCAAAGATTTGTCACTTTCCAAATAAACTCATTGTGGGAACACAAATGCTTGAAAATATTTTTGGTCCAAAAGCATTTGAATTAATTTTGAACAATATTAAATAAGCAAGATAAAACAAATTGTCATTATTTTTCAATTTTGTCAGATGCATTCAATAGACAATAAACTTTTTCCTCTGTCACTTTTTTATTCCAGAGCAGGATGTAAATGTAATTTTAGATTTTTACACTGATCACAAGTCTGAACAATAACAAACAAAATAACTGAGTGTCTAAAAGAGGATGGTTTGTCACTCAAATGTTACATCTTATTCAGTTGACAATCTTATTTATGCGTCAGTTAATTATGGAAAAGTTAATTCTGTTTTTGAAAACTTATTCAAATTAAATGCATGTATTTAAAAAATGAAAAGACAATAGCTTTTAATTCTTTAAAATCCACAACAAAATCAGTAATAAAACATTTAATTAAATTATACAGTTGACTTTTATATAAAAGTCATAAGTTTTGTTAATTCACCTCAAAAGAATTTATTTCCTCTTTCAATGATCTAATTTCTGTCTTTATCCCCTGTAGTTCCAAATTCTACTGTAAGAAATTCTCCTGAATTAAACTGTATAACAAATTTATTGTATATTAAGATTTTACCTCTGTTTCCATGTCCTTTTAACATTTCAAAATAATCCTGTATTTTTGTATCTTCAGTCTTTCTTGACTTACTTCACCAATCATCTCTTCCACTTGTTGAAATTCTTCATTCATTAAAATATCAGACCTGATTTTTTTTAATCCAAATCCTTCAGAAATTCCTTGCATGGTGGTGCCCTGCTCCTTTTTTGCCTATTGACCAAGGGCATTCATTTTCTGTAAGGATTGAGTAAGAGGACTGGATTGACTCAATTCCAGCACAAATTAACATCGAATTTAGTTATTTGTTTATTAACATATTACAAAATTCCAACTCGATAACCAAACAATTGTTTCGCTATATTTTTTTTGGCCATTTAACACTTCAATAATCAGATGCTTAATCTTCACAAAAAAGTACACTTATACCTTCAGTGACCAGTAGCTCCCCTGCCATAATTTGGTAATAGAAAAATGCAGTCCATTTTTCCCTCAAAAATAAAAATTAAAAAACATGAAAATTAAATTTACATTTCATTGATTCTAATAAAATGGCTTTACAAATTTATCAGGTTTTGTGAAGTTTATGAAAATTCTTAAAAATTTTAATTTGAACCTAGACCAGCCTTGGGATAGAACTCTTAGTCCAGAACATAACCATTACATCACTCACTATTATGAATTTGAGCTAGAAAGTATAAATCCAATAGCTTAAGATTAGTTCCCCCGTTGAAACTGCTTAAGACTGGATTTTTTACTGTCACTTAGAATGAACACTATGAATATTTCATGTTTAAAAATAAAAGTTTGTCAGGTAGTCATTTGGTTGCCTTTTATTGTAAATTTGTATAAATTTATGCTTTGATATCAAAGCAGGATGAAGAAATTGCTAGGAATCTACTTGACATTTCCTTAATTCTACAATTTGGAACATTTTTTTAGCAAATTTTCCAAATTGTAGATGACATGGTCAATTAATTAGAAGAGATTGCACCTTTTTTTTTTTTTTTTTTTTTTTTTTTTTTTTTTTTTTTTGAGGAAGATTAATCGAGAGTACTCAAACTACAATACAATTGTTTTGTTCTTTTGTCAGTAAGATTTCACCCATACATGGAATAAAAATTGTCTAATGTAAAAGCAGAGGAACAAAATTTCCTCCTTAATAACTGCATCAATGGCTAAGTACATCAAACAAAAGCTTTACAACATAGTAAATAATTTTAATGTTAATTCGACAAACATTTTTGATATTATACAAGATCAAAAAACGTTTGTCAGCAGAAGAATGTATTATCAAATTGTCAGTCTTTATTTTAATGGTAAAGAAAAAGAACATATTTCAAAAAAAGAAGCTTTGTTTGTTTCATTGTCTATACTAAATTGTCACCCACAATAAAGTATGGAGTAAATTGAAAACTATGGAAGATTTTCATTGATTACATTTGTCTACTAGTGAATCTGTATGAAAATTAAGAAGCAATAATACCAACTGATTATAGAGAAACCAAATGGGTCAATATTGAAAAAGGAATATTATCACGTTATAGGTTAATCAGAAAAAAAGAACAAATATCATGAGGAATACTGGATTGGAAGACAGGTTTGATTGTTATTTAATTTATCATATTATTGAAAAAGATTTTTGTATAATTTTAGTCTGTAAATTTTGTACCAGAAAACTTTCCTTTTATACCCACTGATAAGGAAAAATGTGGTTTGAAGTTCATTTGAGGAAATAAATAAAAGGATAAAGGAATCAGCCTAAATGCAGTGTTCTTTCTCATTTCAATCCATACAATAAGTATAATAAATCCTGACTTTGAGAAAAAGCCCAGTAGGTGTAAGAAATTAAAGACAGCATTAAGAACAAGAAGCTATTTCTACAATGGATTGAAAGAAATGGAAGCTGGAGTAGAAATTATAGAGTAGGAATATCAATAGCCTTAAATATGTTAAATGATACAGCCTGTAACTGAAAGCAAAAGTTTATGAAGTCAAGAAAGAAAACAATGATACAAGCTTACGATTCAGTATAAAGAAGAAAAGATTTTTGCCAAATGAACTCAATACAGTGCAAATATAGGTAATGTAGAGATACAGATTAATCCAAGAAAGTGAAATTTTTGATCCCCCCAAAAACCAATGTAAATTCAAACTGTATCCAGAAAGAGTGATGAAATGTAGAGATGATGGAATGATGATAAAAATCTGAATAGCTAAAGCAGTTGTCGTCCAGTAGCAGAATATGAACTATTAAAAAAAGCTGAATGTAAGAAAGTTGATGCTTTTGAACCGTGGTGGAGGAATTGCTGCATATATAATGGATTGTTAAAAACACAGGTCAGTTTTATAGGGTGGTTAAATTGGAGATAACAGAAAATGAGCAGCATGTTAGTCTTGGTAATGATAGTTGGATACTATCTGAAAGAAACTACCACAGATGAAATTGGTACCTAGGGAATGGATAACAACAATATAAAAATATTTGCCATCATAGAGGTATTGACAGTATGATTTAACAAGTTTCATAATGTAAATGTACCATGTGACTTCAGCCAAAGTCTGTCATAGGTAGAAATATGCAAATTTTTACAATTTGAATAAAAACATACAAAATTACTTAGAATTTGAAAATAATGGAAAAACTGAATATCTTGAGCTATTTGAAATTGTAGAAATAGAATTAGAAATAAGCAAATGCCAGCTCATAGATACAAACATAATGTTGATGAGTTTTAATATCTTTGTATTTTGCTTAAACTGTAATAAATAAATATAAAATATTAGATTATATCATTTTTAAATGCTTCATATTAAACTGAGCACTATAATTTTTCATATATGCTCTGCACTTTATAAGATTGCTTTAAAATATTACATAGAACATTTAGTAACTTTCTAACTTTATTGTAGATATACAGTACTAATTGTGTA